AAGCTCCATTGTTAAACTGAAGGAAAAATCACCCCAGACCATTATTGTGTCCCCTCCACTGTGACGCATAGAAAACATCTAAGGTTGGATCTACTTGTCATGCCAGTAACGTTGGAAACCATCAGGACCATCAAGGTCAAAAAAAAATTTCATCAGAGAATAAACTTTATTCCACCTTTCAATGTCCCATGTTTAGTTCTCTCTTGCAAAGTCCACATGGTCAGTTCTGTGGCATTCAAGGAGACGATACCATTGAAGACGTTTTTTGTTTTTGAGGCCCTTCAATCTAGATGCTGTCTGATGGTTAGGGGGCTGCAGTTGGCACCAGTAACTTAATTTGGTTCGGGGATTGTCTAGTGTCTTGACAGACAGCCAATTGGATCCAGGGCTGGTGAAATTGTTTTGGGTCTTCCACTTGACTTTTTTGTTCCATAACCCCCAGGATCATTTAAGAAATTCCAAATGACTGTTTTACTGCGTCCCACCTCAGGGGCGATGGGATGTTCCGAGAGACTCTGCTTATGCAGTTCAACAACCCGACCACGTTCAAAAAGGGAAGTTTTTTTGCCTTTGCCATCAAAACATCATGACAGTGTGACTATCTGACAGAAAATGACAATGAACCCACATTTTTGCACAAATTTGGCCTTTTAAAGGCATGCGGTCCTAAACTTTTGATCAGCTGGTATTGAAAATAAAAATCTTTTGCTTTAATTACACAGTCTGCACTTGAATCTGTTCTGTCAGGAACCTTGTTAAGATCCAACCATGCAAAATATGATTTTTTTTGTCATTTTTCAAGTGTTCATAAACTTTTGATCGGGACTGTGTAATTAAAATTAAAACAAATATACTCTGTAAACAGAAAAAAGTAAAAGATTTGCAATGGTAAATGGCCATTTATCTATATTTGTATAGCTCTTTACTTAGTCCCTAAGGACCCCAAAGCGCTTTACACATCCAGTTATCCACCCATTCACACACAGGTGATGGCGGCGGTGGCAGACACTGGTGCCACCGAGCCCTCTGACCACCACCAGTAGCCAACGGGTGAAGTGTCTTGCCCAAGGACACCACGACCGAGACTGTTGGAGCCAGGGCTCGAACCAGCAACCTTCCGATTACAAGGCAAACTCCCAACTCTTGAGTCACGATCGCCTACGATCAATATTTGACAGGAATATCTCTAAATACCACACAATTTCAATACTCGAAGAGGACAGGATGAAGTTTACACTTAAATCTGCAAAACAAAACAGGACTATTCTTATCAGCTGCTGTGTTTAGGAGCAGAGGTGGTGCCTGTCTGACTTTGAGGCAGACTCTTGTGTGGCAGGTAAATGATTGTTCACCAGAGACATGGTTAACGCAATTAAACATTGAGCATTTGTCAATGTTTAATTGCGTTAACCATGTCTCTGGTGAGCAATCATTTACCTGCCACACAAGAGTCTGTAAACTTCATCCTGTCCCTTGACAAATGCTCAACAACTTTGTGCATGCATGTGAGCCCTTACCCCTTCTGTACCGCATCTAGAGCCAGCTGAGTATAGAAATATGGAGTAAAGGCAGAAGGAGTCAGAGAGGGAGCTTCCTCCATCTCTCCCAGTCCGATGTTTGCTTTGCCATCAGTACATAAAATGACCTGTAAATCACAACAGCCGCAAGGTTCTTGTTAATAGTGGTGACAGTCACAGCACTCAGTTGTCCCAATCTGATATCTGACCGCTCATTTACTCACTTTTGACCCAGGGTACCTTGAAGCCATGGCAACGGAGGCTAATGCTGCGGGACCAAGACACGTGGCTCCATGTTCCCTGAGTCTAGAGTCAGAGATGTGGAGAAAACAAAGAGTGTTTCAGACTGTACAGAGCATTCTTCCATGTTTCTAAAACACTTCTAACACTTACTCTTTGACCCTCTGTATTAGGTGGTTGTAGGTCTCAGCGATACAGTGTGGGATGTGGTAAGTCACACCCTTTTCCCATATATGGTCGTAGTCAACTAGCGCCCAATCCCTGAGTGTGATAGGAGCACTAGTACCATCACCATATATTACAACCTGTGAAACCAGCAGAATGTAGTTAGAGTACTCCAGGGGCAGGAGATTTATAAGGTCTTCTTCATTTAATGTCTTCAACATTTAATTCAAATTTTGACAAAAAAACAAATTCTCTGGCAGATGAGGGCAGATTGCTTCTCCCTTCTGTCTGCTGAAGAGCCATCTTCTACAGAGCATGACAGTTCATCATGGTAAACAGGAAGTCCTCTTGTTTTTGTGGGCCAGGCTACATAACTGTCAATTATGCAAGGTCCAAAGGGGACAAAAACAGGAAAACATTTAAAATTCTCTCATGTAGTGATAAATAAGGGATTCAATGGACTTTATAAGTCTGGTTCTATGAACAAGGACGTCTTATGATCTGCTCCACTGATTTTTCTATTTTACAACATTGAGGTAAAACTGGAGCAATGTACTTAGTTATAGCAACATAGAGGAATGCAATTAAATATTCATTATATCTTGAGTGACACGATTATATATTCATATAGATTAAAATTGGCCAAAAAAAAACCCAAAACCATAGGAAAGACAATAAAGGGCTTTTCTATTCTATTCTACTCAAAAAATGAGAAAGATCGCATGGAAGTAAAAAAAAAAATGTAACAGTAGAGTAAAAGGTAAAAAAAAATAAATTAGTTTTTGTTGTCGTTGTTTTAAGGTAGACAGCAAAATACCTAAAGCTTTAGCATCCCCACTCCTGATAAGGACCCCAGGTTCAGTCTGAATCAACCATAATGATTTGTTCTCATTGTGATTTCTGGAGTCCAAAGACATAATGAATACTAAACACCTTTTACAATCTTTTACCACATGCTAGTTGGATGGGATAACACTTATATTTGTATTTAAATGTTCACAAAAAAGAAAGATTCAAAAAAGCAGCATACAAGAATCAGTGTTATAATTAATACTACTACTACCACGACATCTCCTACCTCATCGTTAAATGTCACCAGAGCCACCCTCCGATGAGGGGACCGTTGCTTTATGGTGAATAGTGCCCTGTAGAGGGCATCCTGCATACCCTGTGAAGACATACCAAAACAGCACAAACTTTAAAACAAAATGATTATGTTAATGCAGCTCAGCCAATCAAACCACAACAAATAATCCTCTCACCTCTAGTCTGGATACGTATGTTACAGAGCCATTGCTTGATGGAACCTAAAGCAGAGCAAACATGATAAGACTGAACATTTCAAATGGAGTTTTATTGTGATTTAATTAACCTACAATCATGTGGAAAAGAGGTTTCAACTGTGGAAAACTGAATGTCTCTTTACTGCTACTACAGGTATTCAGAAGGTAAGTAGCAGCCAGGTGCTGCTAATTAATTACACTTGTTTAACTGATAACAAGTGAGTGTAGGCACCTCGATGACAGCAGACATTTTGGTATTTAGCTATATGTTACCACGATGCCACAATCTTTTTAAGAGTGGATGTCCCAGTAAGTCCACCCGAAGAACAGATTGTGCAGTGCTTACATAAACTGCAAGAAACTTGAGAGGTGCATCTCAGACTGAGTTAGCATGTTAAATGTAAAAAATCTTGACAGTGCCATTAGAAAAAGACTGAACAAGTACGGCTTGTTTGGAAGGATTGCCAGAAGAAACCCTTTTCTCTCTCTCTCTGTCTAAAAAAATAAAATAAATAAAAAGTAAATAAACTTGCATCTGAGCAAAACACAAAACTTGACAGAGACAAGACTGCACAGACGAGATCAAAGTGGGAGGTTTGGCCACAATGTAGAGTGAAACCCAAACACAGCATATCATCATAAACACCTATATTGTGTGGATGCTGATTGCAGCTACAGGACCTGGGCACCTTGTTGTCATTGAGTCAACCAACAACTCCTCTGCATACCATTCTTTATTTTAGAATCAAATGTAAGCCCATCTGTCCGACAGCTAAAGCTTTGTCCAAATTATATCATACAACAGGACAAGAACACACAAAATCTACAACTGAATGTCTAAAAAAGAAAAGAATCCAGATGATCCAATTCAGAGTCCAGACCTCAAACTCACTGAAACGCTGTGGCACGTCCTGTTCTGTGGCAGGACCTTAACAGAGCTGTCCATAAATGGATGCCTGCAAAACTCAATCAACTAAAGCAACACACTTAAATGAGAGTGGAATAATATTCTTCACTGAGGACTTGACGACTGATAAAATCATACAGAAATGCATTTACTTCAAGTTATTTTATGCTCAAGGCGATCCTACAAGCTTTTGAATCATGCAAGAACTCTTTTTGCAACCACAAGGGTAGCCTCCAGCTTTTGATAAACAATGACTGTAGGAATTTTACCCGCAGTGTGTTTGAATAATGCAATCCACACACCTCTGTAGTAACGCTCATGCTGCCAGAAGTGTCCACGCAGAAAACAACTAGCGTGTCCTCCAAGTTCTGATAGTCGTCTTCACTCTGTCTGGGCAGGTAAAGGTCATCACTGCGCACACCGGCTCGCTGGCCAATGCACAAAGCAGCTAAACTTTCGTCTACGCTGTTTTCATATCCACAGAACTCACATCGCCAAACCTGCACAAGAAGAAGAGGATTTGCTTTTGTTTGTTTCAACTACCTTTGTCCAGTGGAAACCAGTTAATCAATTGGTTGAATCCAAAGAAATAAAAAATTCGGCAATTAAATTACCACTCACGTTCTTCTGTAACGAACTGAGACATGACAAAGCAGCACTACATTTCCCACAAATCACTGGCCTTTGAAAAGTCTCCATGCCTGAGTCTGATAAGCAAAGAAAGAAAAGAGATTAATAAAATCCCCAAAAATCTTGGAAGGAAGTGTGTTTGCATGTGTGTGCCCCCTGACCTTGACTGGTGTCAACCAGTTTTCCAACATTGAGTGAGACAACGTTGACGTTGGCCTTCAACCTGGTTAATCCTTCCAGCTTGTCAACTGATGAAAGGCAAAAAGGAAATGAGAGAGAGAGAAAGATTAAATATCAAATATAAAACATAAGGAAAGACTGGCAAATCAAACTCACGTCTGGGAGGAACAGGAGGAGGGAGGGAGGGAGGAGCAGACGGAGGCTCGAAGGAGGAATTGTTGTAAAGAGGAAGAGAAGTAGGCCGAGGTTTCCTCAGTCGACGAGGGGGCAGCGGTGGAGGAACCTCATCTGAAGTAACAAGGAAACACTGAATAAATAGCCTACAAAAGCAAAACGTATCAAGTGACACGTTCTCTAGGACATGCAGAGTCCAGGCTATGGCTTTATTACCTCACTGCAGTCATTATCTGATGTGCATATGTGAGATCCTTTTAAAATCTTCTTTCAAAACTTGTCTTAAAACATTAAAGGTCTATCAGAATAAAACTTCCACCAACCCATGGACCTAAAGGAAATGGCTACAGCTGATCCGATCAAAGATTGTGAAAATTAACAGCTGATTTTGTCTCTTTAAATTTTGAGTTGTAAATTTAAAATTCACTCTCCTTAAAAACAAGCAAACAAACAAAAAAATATTACATTAGTCAGGTGGTCACACTTGCCCTTTAGTTATCACATTTCTACTCTGT